GATGAGTACATTGCTTACGAAAAGATATTATGAAAAACCAAACTATTTGAGTGAACTTTCTAACTAGCAGATGTATTTGTCTTATCTGAGTATAATATTGTTTACAGTCTCAGGAGTCCATCGTCAACGGCAGCTTAATTTCCTCAGCTCCAACAACAAGTCGCGAGAAGATGGAATCCAACATCATGAAACGACAACAACTAGAAGTTATGGCTCGTGTTGTTGCTCGTTTAAAGTCATTGCCTACAACATGACACTTATTGGGCTTTTCAACTATACTGAAAGATCTTTGTGTTCCCCACATAGACAAAAGTGTGTATTGCAAGAAACTGTTGCTTGTAAATCTGTGAATATGGACGGATGTGTTCAGCTGCAGATAAAGTCTACAGTGCTGCATAGACACAAACACACATGCACGCACACATACAGCGTATTTCGATTGCAATGAACACTCTTATCAGGTCATCATCCGGGCCCGATGTTATCGAATCATTTTAGGATATGCTGATTATATTACGTTTATCAAACCGTACTGGGATCTTAGTGTTACATCGGACACATACATAATCGTGATTGAGATGCCATGCCAAATGAACAAAGCACAAACTTGTCTCAGAAGCTTCGCGTAACGGCTTGGCAAGCAGTGGTACTGTAGCTTAAGGAACGTGAGTTAATAATGCATGCCATATAGGTTTCAAATACAAACATCGGAAACATCATTTCCATCGCATGCTGCGGGTGCAATTCAACCCGCCTCCCCGTTCATTTTAAACAGAAATGGCCAAGTGAACCCAACCTCTCGTATACGTTCGGAACTCAGAAGCGCAACAATAGATCGCACAAACTCGAAACACGTAGGCGAGGAAATAATAATAGTAATAATAAAACATTTACGCTAGCAAAGGGGACAAAGTCCTGAGAGTGCAGTATCCCTGCAAAGCAGGCTAGTGATTTGCGCTACGGTATGAAAAGTGTAGTGTACACGAAGCACTTACCAGGTTCATCATGATGCCAGCATCAGGCAATACAACATTCATGTAGATATAATAAGCTAGCATATCGCGTTTGAAGTATCCTTGTTCATTACTGTGACAGCAATGAAACCTGTGAACCAGTATCGTAAGAACCATTTGCTCCATACCATGTACATATATTTGATTGGTAACAGTCTTGCACTTGATTCAGTGGTCATTTTTCTAAAATTATGGTTGTTACTTCCTTCTTGAACGCCTTTGCTTGGAATCTGAATTAGTTTGAAAGGTCAGTAGTGACAATTCTAGAGATATAGGTTTTAGCTACATCAATACCATCTGGTTTTTTCAAGTGCGTATAAATATTATATATGTACGCGATACGACCTATTCCAGCAGGCGGACGCAAGCCGAAACGGCGTCTAATTCGAATATAAATTGCATCACCCATATTTGTCGAATCAGATTACAAGAGTCACAATGAGTTGTATAATCGATGCAAGGCGTCTGTTTCGAATCGCAATGCAGGACTTGGGTCATGCATCACGTTAACGTTATCTGTCGATTTTTGTGACAGATTACGGAAGACGTATAAATGCGCGGATTGACGGTACTTGTCACTTTTCCGGCAAAATTGTTGATTGTGGGAGTAGACTCCGATCGGGCAGAGGTCGTATATAATCCGTAAAGGTATGTCGCACGTTGAACGTCACATCGTAATTACGCTTAATGTCATCATCCAGAATATTGGCGTGTCCCTGTCAGCATCATACGGCACACGCATGTCACCCTGAAAATCGATGACGTACGAGTTTGGCGTGATTTATACAGACAACATATAAATTCTGAAGACCTGACGGAATTTGGACTTGTCGAAATACTTCTCGCTTTCGCCTGAGTGGCAGGAGTAATACGAATGCCACATGATGCGGGATCACGACAAGCGACCGCGGCTCCAAGGGTATTTTGGTCGTAGACAAAGTTGGCAAGCTAATCATTAGCGACCGACTTACACATAATCACGCTTGACAGTGCTGCCAAAACATCATGGATACAACAAACGTTATGCGCAATTCGATATACCTTTTAAAGTCATGCTAATCAACCCGTTTCATATTCAAATCGATTATGTGCAACTATGTAGCAATATGTTATAGATATATGACGACGGCTATAGGAGCTCGGATCCCTGCACCTGCAAGTTGTGTTTCTTTGCTTTTCTTTTCCAACAATTACGTATATCATATACATCGAAGTAGATGCATCGGCTGCTGACGTTGTCATACTGCAGCAGTATAACCTTATTCATACTAATGGGATGCGCACTATCATTCACTGTGGGCACCTCTACTTGCTCATAAATCGGGGTTGTCGTCAACATGCAGCACTACATCTGTTCAATCAAAATCCGACTTGTTCATCGTGCATTGCACGATTAGAGGCTAGTCCCCCGTCCTCCTCATCACAAGAATAATTGGCGTCTTTGTTAAATGCTGGAGAAATGGGTAAATCGTCAAACATATTTTTTGCGTGTGTAGACAACGATATGGAACCCCATATTGAAGTGCTTGGCGGAGTTGGCAGATTCCCATTCACATGGATGCGATCATCTTTGTGTTTCTCTATGTTTTGGTTTTGCACATGGTTTTCGAGGAGAGATATTTTACTGCAAAAGCACATAAGTGATCCGTTCCCCAGTGAATGCACATATTCGTCCCCGCTGTCCTGCCCAGCACACTTGGCAAGCATGCAAACGGGAAATGTGTGGACCGCCATGTGAAGCACAAGGTGCTAGAGATGAGCATGTGTGACAAGCACGCCATAATGTTAGGACTAATTCTACTCAATTAGTTGCTGAACACTGGGCAAAAAGATAAGCAACTGCAAGCGTTGCATTCGTATAATTTCAACTCGGATCCCATGTCTCCCCCATCATCCCCAGACAATTATGCCAGCAGCATGTGGGGTGCTGAGTAACATTGCAGGCAAAACTACAAGATAATGCCCATAGGTAGGCTCATGGGAGACGTGATGCTGATGACGCGACAACTTGATTCTACTCCACGCCAGCCTGGGCTCGATGCGCCCATGACCGACACCTCGTCTGTTCTTGATGTGCACCCAACACACTGGCCATCAACACTTCGGTGCTGCAGCGTTGTGTGGCGAGAGAGCCGCTGACTCGACTCGAGGCTTGGATCCAGTATCCGCGGAGGAGACCACCAGCGCATGCTACCAAACTCTAGTGCTATGAATGATTTAATGATCCAGATGATTGGGGCGCTGGTGGACGGTAAAAGCACAAAGTGAGGCTACTGCCTGTGCCCCTCATGCGAAGGGTCGCACCTCCGAAGAGCTCTGATCTCTTTTCGTGTTTCTTGCAGCTCTACAAGCACCTGCTCCAAATGGCCGTCCCACATTGCACGCCCCATTTTGCCCTCATCGTATACCTTCCCTAAGACAACGCTCTCACACTCTTCATTCTCATCACCTAAATCAACCCTACCACGCCCCCTCCTCCCCCCGCCTTACCATACAAGGGTAAAACTGAAAACCCATCGGCCGTTAAAAACCTCACATATGGAACGGTTTGTAGCAAAATATATTCGACGGGCTACCAGGGTATCGCCCACAAAACGACGCAGTGCGGCAACCAGAGTTGGCCAGCACCACCCCCGTGGATGAGATACACCACGCACGAACAGGAAAAGGCCATGCCAAGATAGCATACACACTGAATGGCATGAGGCCCGCTGACAAAAGCCGGCGCACCATCATCCCAGTGGATGTGAGAAGCAATTCAGGAGCTTTACAGTTGTACATCAAACAAATGGAATCTACCCGATCCGGGGGGCTTTTTATGCCTCTTTCGCACGGGCCGCATAGGCGTAGCATAGGGCGGGTCTGCGCCAAGATACCACCAACACACACCTCTAAACAAATGCAAAGCAGCATGGATGGATGGATGGATGGATGGATGTACCAATATCACGGCCAGCCACGCGATACGCAACTCAATACCTGCTAAAACCCGTGCAGCATGCACATTAAACGGAATGTGATCCGCCGAAAAAAAGCCAGCCCACCATCATCCCAGTGGATGTGAAAAGCATTCAGGAACTTTACAGTTATTGCCTCGAATAAAATGGAATCTGCCTGATCCGGGTGGCTGTTCTGTGCATCTCTCGCACGGGCCGCATGGGGAATTCTTATCGGAGGCATCATTCCGGTGAAGGGGAGAGCGCCGAGGGAGAGGCTGGTGGGAGGGGAGAGGGTGAGTGCAGGAAGAACGGGAAAGGGCAAACAAAGCAGAGCTACCACACATAGAGGATTCCTAGATGCAGACCCTTGCCATTGTTTCGCTGTGCAATGTGGATGGATGGATGGATGGATGGATGGATGGATGAATGAAAAAATGATGATTGCCACACGCGCGAGCGCGCCACGTGTGCGCCCCGTCAGCTACTGCAGGCTAGACCAGGGTACTGGAGTGAGCGTCATCTGCGGGCATGCCCCCCAGGCAGCTTCCTTCTTGATGATGGGAACTTATTAGCCCATGCTGTAATGATGGACAATGAAAGGTGCAGAGAAGTGAGCACGCCGCCATTCCTCCTGATGGCATTTACACTTGAAACATGGACCTGTTGGTCGATGAATGTAAGTTGACGGGCGGACCACAACGGTCGATGAATGCAATCCATGGATGAACAGCGGAGGATCTACAGAATCAATTTTCAGACTCGTGCATCTTTGCACCGGATACCTTCGGGATGGACTCACTCAACTTTGTTTGCAGGGGAGGGGCTTGGGAACAGGAGTCGCCCGGGTCACTCGGAAGGGTAAGGTTGAGAGAGAAGAGTTGGGACACTCAGGAGCAGGGCTGGCCGTGAGTCATCTACAGGGTAGATTGAACCAAGATGAAGAGGAAGACTGAAGACCTGAAAAGATAGAGATCCGAAAGGGTCGTAATAAAAAAATGAGTGCTGCTCCCATAAGGACAGTGATGATGGATTTATCCGAGTATATATAGAACCAATGGTGCAGTAGTGATAGCACGACATTCCGGTAATTTGTGGACGGTGGGTTTGATCCCCCCTTGGTTCACCTTTGGATAAAATATACAAAGATATGACAACCAGCTCTGAGAAAGAATGACATGAAAAAATGGAATGAAAAATAAAATTGATCGTGCAATCTCACCAGCATCCCAGTGGACGTGAAACGCGGTGAGAAACATGGCGGGGCCGTGGCAAGCTACCAACCACTTCGACACATTCCAAACCAAGCGCAAAGCGGACCCACCACAGACACGAATCGCAGCCGAAAATGTGGGGTAGCTGGGAGCCCATCCAGCTTTGTACTGCAAGTCCTTCATGGAAATATTCCATGACGGTGCTCGAGCCCACGCAAGCCAAATTATTTTCAAACAAAAGAGGGGATCCCCAGCTGCAGTGCACGCTCCACCAAGGTCTCCCCTATTTGCTCTGGGCACCCCAAACAACATGCCAACCATCGACGGCAGCGGTTCCGCGGTGTCCTTCGATTCCGGACATCCGAAGGGGGAAAACCAAACGCGGGCACCTAAGTGCTCGTATCTAGCGTAAAAGAGAAGACGCGGGCACACAGAACACACCCACTAAGCTAAGCACGCACGCACAGACACACGGGTGGAGCAGGGGGTAGCAGGGGCCGGTGGAGGAAACTGGTACTCTTTCATTCATCACAAACTGCAGAGGGTGCTATTCGAGCTCGGAAATGCACCTGGCTGTTCAGTGGCGTACTGTCATCGTGGAATGATGAGAGGGTCATGGACTTATCTGAGCATAACCCGAGCCCATCACGCCCCCATCACGCCCCGCTATATCTCGGCTGCAGACATGTACACTACGCCCAGCTGAGCATAACCCGAGCCCATCACGCCCCCATCACGCCCCGCTATATCTCGGCTGCAGACATGTACACTACGCCCAGCTGAGTATATGCGGGGTCCTGCCTCGGAAGCCGGGCTGGGAAGGCGCATCTCCGGATTGCAAGGCTTAGTGCAGAAGAGGAGCTTGTGGCATGGGCCCGGACCTTTTGGCATGGGCACTCGAAAGATACTGGACTTCCGTCTGGCTCGTCTGCTTTGTTTCAACGCCACCTCCATCACCTGCCGCCCATTCCCTCGCTGACCATTAGCAGCCCTATCAGCTCCTCGGTGTACGACCCTTAAGGCACCTCTATGCACATGACCGATGCCAGTCATGCAGGTCTCTCCAATCCCGCCGTCCCGACCCACCGCGCCCCCCTTCAAAGATACGAATCCTTAAGACTGTACCGATGTTGTTATCTTGAATTCTTGATCCCCTCCCCCGCTTTCAAAGCACCTCCGTGAGCTGCACTGATGACATCGCGTCAGATCCCCTTTCCCCTCCCCCAATGATACACCTTGAGCTGCACTGATGCCATCGTTTCACATACCATACCCATCCCCCTAAAAATTGGACTCGTTGAACTGCAATGAGTTTGTTGCTAAAACTCCTCTAGGCCTCTCGGGTCAACCTCATCCACTGCAATGTCCCTCATTGAAATCTCCCGAAGCCGCTGCCACACATGCGCCTTGTAGCGCTTGGCTTCGGCCCAAGATCAAGCGAGAATTGCGCAGGATGGTCCGTGGGAGGTCGGCAAGATTGACGACAATGACGGGCGCGTGCCTCGTAGCTTGCCATGTCTTCCTCCTTCGGCACAAAATGGCCCTGCAGCAAATGACAATTTCACGGTCACCACCACTGCAGCAAACAACAATTGTACGGTCACCACGGAGAATGGCAAGTGCACAGTCATCGTCATTGCGGGGAGACACAATCGCATGGGCACCGTCAATGAAGAGAATGCCCCGTGCACAATCATCGTTACCGTAAAGCACATCGATCGAACGGTCATTGTCATCGGAGCTTCTTGGGACCATCGCATTGGCCTGGATCGCAGTATCAGCAGCCGCCTGCCTAATTGCCAGGTGTATGGGCAATAGGACTGCAGTGACGGCGAGCCGCTGCAACACGGAGCCCACCTACCCGAGCCCGAGGCTGCAACACGGAGCCCACCTACCCAAGCCCGAGGCTGGCAGCATAAATATGCAACCACGCAGCAAATGCACCGATATCCACTCTCTATCAGTTCTGGACGGGGCGGTGACAAGTATGTGGTGTGAGGGGCATAATTGGGCGAGTGCCGCTTGGATAAAAGCAGTGGCGGGCAAGCACCAGCCGAGAAGCGGCGCGGGCAGAAACCCAAGGGTGGGGCAAAGCCTCACGGAACGACACCAACCACGACCTCATCACGATGACGCAACCACAGACATGCCTCCGTAAAGGAGAAGACACACGGACGCCCGTAGGAGGGTGCACCGGGGGAGCAGGCCGGGAGCGCGCCGCGCTTGATGGGAGCCGTGCACCTGCTCGGATTTGCGGTCGATGACATTGATGCATTGCTGGAGACTGCACGGGGGCCCCGTGAACACGCTCACCCACTGGTTACGGGTCACATGCGACTTGGTGCCGTTCCTGGTTCGCTTCTGCACAGGCAGGATGGACATCTTTCTACCCGCCGATGTTTCTTGCTGCAGCAGCTCCGCTGCATCTTCCTCATCCTCGGAATTATTGTCGAGATCCATCTCCTCCTCCTCCTCCTCCTCCGATTGGCCACGTGCAAGCTTAGGTATGTGCGTGATTTCCGCCATGTACATCACAAATTCGACTGCAGAGCAAGCAGCTCCCTCGTTCCGTCAACCAACCTCTCACCCCTGGCTGGGTGCTGGTACAAAACCTAGTGGTTTTTGTACACTATTTAGTGGCGTACCACGATATAGTGAGACTAGTACACTAGATAGTGTAGCAGTTTCACTATATAGTGGGATTGACCACTATATCGTGTACCAGTCTCACTATATAGTGGAACTGGTACACTATATCGTGCACCAATTTCACTATATAGTGGAACTACTACATTATTGTCTATTACCATTTGCTAAACTGCTGGCTGATTCGCTTAAAGAGGTGCATGGGGCTTCCTCGAAGGCCCTTTACAATTTTGGGGACCCATGTTGTCGATTTCTCGAGCTATTCTTTCTACGGTGTCTTGTTAAAATTTTGATCCGAGGTCATCTTGACCCTCTAAATATCGGTTTAAGTAGCCTGGGTATCAACCACCGTTGATATACTACTTGAGTAACAAAACATTGAGATTAGGGTTTAAGGAATGACGCCTCGACAATATTCAATCATTCCTCGATAATGCTCGACGAGAACCGCGCCCTCCCGATATAACGGAATTGGTACACTATATAGTGGAACTGTGATTTTCCTGGCGGTTCAAACATTTATTGACATACAGTACACATTTACAAGATCCCGACAACCCGATGGCATCTTCGGGTGTTAGGTACGCCACTATATGAAAAATTGCGTTCCACTATGTAATGTACCAGTCCCACTAGGTTTTGGACAAAAATCACTAGGTTATGTCATGTCACCCCTCACCCCTTCTCAGCCCTTGATATGCGCCGCCCACATCATTAGTTCACGCGTTTAGCCCTTTCACTATTCTTTGGAAGCCACAGCTCTCACACCTACTAGCTACCCGACCCCCAAAACTACCTTCGGACCAGCAACCCACACCCGTCCTGATCTTGCTGCTTCGTGCTCCCAATATACCACCACCCTCTCGCCTGCCGGGCCGCTGCGATCTGACCGCTCATCCCCAGCTGCTCCGACACCCCCACCAGCCGCGATCATTGGAGCGCCACTTGGAGCACTATCGATCACAACGAGTCTGAACTACTCGCCGTCCCCACATGATCCGATTGATGAAGTCTGTATGCTATGAAGTACGTAGACAAATCAGTGCGCAGCTCCTCGAGTTGCATCTGGTGGACAGGGTGGCAATTGTGCAGGCTGCTCGCGGTTCCCACCTTGTGCACACTATGCCGAGGCTGAATAAATGCCCTCTTTGAGAGATTGTCACGAGTTGAACGCCCTCTTTGAGAGATTGTCGCGAGTTGAACGCCCTCTTTGAGAGATTGTCACGAGTTGAATGCCCGTCGAGTTGCGATGCTATATGGATGGCAAGCACGGGACGACCGGCCACATGATTGCGGAGCTCAGTGAGGATCAATGCAATGGTGCTTCCTTTTTTATCCGTCGCGCATCAAATGCCCCGACCAAGTCACCCCTTCGCAAGACAGACATTCGCAACACCAATGGGAAGTGTGCTATTCCGGTTGTCTCCCTCCGTAAGGCCTCATCCCAGCCTTCGCCCCTATCATCCCCGCCCCTCGCCGGCAGCCGCCACCACCTCTCTCTACAGAAATTCTCTGTACTAACAAGGCTTATTACAGGCATGGCTCATCTCCAGCTTTATCTCACCGACTTCCCCCCGGACCCAGCTCTCTTCCCGCAGCCCCTCGCCCGGGTGCAAACACAATCGTCATCTCCACGGTTCCTGAGGACGGGATGTGCCGCAGTTGTCACTTTTACCCCCTCCCCCTCTTCCACTGCTTCCACATCCGCGCCCCCATCGGAGTCCCCCCGTCGGAGCTTCCCCACAGTCCCCCAGGGGGCCTCTGCCATCTACGAGCTTCAGTACCGGCTCGTCCATCTATGTCCGGCATCGTCCGCATCCGCTACCGCCTGCTGCTCCATCCGCATGGCCTCTCCCACCACGCACCCGGTGCCACCAACCACCTCACCCCATTTGCAACGACCTCCGCCACGTCATCCACCCACTGGAAACCAAAGGAGCCACCGACGTGCGGTGCCCCCACAGCCCGCATGCCGCCCGCTACCTGGCTCCACAGCAACCCTGATATCTGGAAGCAAGGCGTCAGCCTCACCTCAGCCACTCCTGCGCGGACTCCCGCAGTGCAGAGGGCCACCGCCCTGCACCCTGCCCCCTGCCCGCAAGAGCCCGCCTGAGCGTGACCGAGCTCCTCACCAGGAGTCCTCTACCGCCACCCGATCCCACGTGCCGGCTCCTCATGCTGAACGCGCTCACCCTCCAAACTCCCCCTCACGGCGCCCATCCATCTCACCAACCCCACTCCCCCTCACGGCCCGCCCATCCATCTC